TATGTATGTGAAAGGAGAATGTAAGTGTGTGAGAGTGCTAGAATGAATTATGGCTTGTACGGCCCCTCATAGCAAACTGTACAAATACAATTATGTAGAAATAATACAAGTTTGCTGCATGCTGTTTTAAACAGTCATAAAATTTCCCTTGTGAAAAAGAAGTACATTTTACATAGATACAAGTGTGAAATTAATGTTTGTTAAATGTTACATAAATGTTAATAACAATTAAATAAAAATGTATTAGTTTAAATTTATATTAAATGCAATTAGTTGACCTTTTTTGACCCACTTCAGTAGGACTTAAGTATATATTTTTATGTAATTTCAAAATTATTTCTCTAGTCTTTGAAATATGCCCAAAGTGTACAGCTGAATGTGCTGTTGAATGTGCTGTCCTTCTATTTAATTCATATTATATTTTCTGCAAATTCAGTTTTTTTATATACTTTAGATTTGAATTACTGTACACTATAAAAGTACACTTTCAGTACAATTAAGTGTACTTATTTAGTTTTTTATTTTAGGTTGACTATACCATATATCTGGTAAGGGAATTATGTAAAAGTGATTTGATGGCTGCTGTTTGTCATAAAAAGAACAGTGTCTCAAAAACGGTGTAAACTGCATATTAAACTGAACCGAATGCAGTTGAACTTTGTTTTACTGAACATTCTGTGGATACTAGTTGTCAAATGAAGCTTTGTGCCTCTTGAACTGAGTTGGGTAGACAGAGAAAACCCTCAGCCTTGAGTGTGTGAAGCTTATGCTTGTCAAAATTAAAAATTAGCCAGCCTCTGTCTGCAGTACTCCCTTCTGATGGTCTCTCTCGGCAGTTTTAATCCAGAATCTAAAATTCACAATAATTCCATGTGATTCACACACCTACATGGGGCACTCGGGCACTCGGGTCCTCTTTTCTGTTGGGGAACAGGGGCGGATTTAGTGAATTGGGGGCCCCAGGCAAAATGGGGCCCTATGGCCCTATACATTTTCCTAGATCAACCTTGAGGTTCCATTTTGTTGTTTTCAGCGTAAGCCTGTGTGCAAAGGCTGTCTAATTCTAAACTTTGAAATACATTTATTTTTAGTTGTTTTAACTACACATTTAAATAAAATTGAAAAAATAATTAAACGGCAATTATACATTTACACACCTAAAATACATATATCAAGAGCATGCTCACAGATGAGAACAAAACAGCGTTGGATG